CATTAATTAGTGAGACTAGTAATCATGTCCTTCCGGAAAAATTCAACCTCTTGATTTAGACTGCTGATGCTCCCTGTATCACCTTCACACTGGCCAAGAGAACTGTGACTACATGTATATCTACAGCCATCCTCTCCTTAACACCTTCATCTCTCTCTTGGCAGTGACCAATACTTTATGGTGCAGCATAGATAGCTGGGACATCTTTTGCACTATAAGTGTGCCAAATTTGGAAGAATCAGCAGAGGTGCTTGTTAGTTTATTAGCTCCTCCAAGTAGTTATAATTCCCTATCCTTCATTACAATTCTGTGACAATTCTAAATGTAACAGTTATATTAAAATGATATTATTAAAATTATGTAGTTATGACAAAATGTTGGCATGTCAAGAAAGTCATAGTTCAGGTTTCACAAAGAACTTTAATTTTGACCCTTGTTAAACTATTGTCCAATATTGATCTCTCCACCTGAAATCTCCAAATATTCAGCAGGGGGTAAGCAAGGTCAGTACTAAGGTGAGAAACATAGAAAAGCCTGTGTGAGCTGCATGAAACAATCGTGTAGAATCAGCAGTGGCATGCATCCTTTTGAATCAATGCTAACGTAATGTGAGTAGGTGGAGAAGATGTGAAGCTAAGAAAACAATTCTTTCTAGTTGGCTTGATTTCCTGGCAAGGCCACAAGGGTGTGCAATAGAGAGTAATGCTGATTTTGGCAGAGTTAGTAACTGTGGAGTCTACATGTTACAACTGTCTGTACGAGATGGGTAATTATAGATCTGGAAGAGACCTCAAGAAGTCATGAGGTCCAGCTGCCTGGAATGAGGCAGAACCAAGTACACCCAGACTATCCCTGAGGAATATTAGTTCAAACTTTTCTTAAAAACTCCAGTGATGGGATTCCACAGACTCCCATGAAATGCTAGTCCAGAGCTTAACAAGCATAAGCTTGGGTCCTGAATAAGGAGATGCCCGGCCCATGCTGCCACTGGGTTAGGGCTGTAGCCTTCCCCCACTGCTACCCCAGCCCCTCTCCCCCTGGGGCTATCTAGATGCCGCTGGACCCACTGCTGGCAGGATGGAGCACCACGTCTGGAGACCAGACTTCCCTGTTCTTGGGCTCTGTGGTCTAGGAACATCCCTGGTCCATGCCAGACCACGGATGTTACCCAACCAGGGAATCCTGTTTAAGGGAGGTATAACCTGTATATGTATAGATGGTTTAGTTAGTTCGTCTCTAAGGTGCTACAGGACTATTCAATTTTTTACCCTTTAAGTTAGAACTGTTTTCCTAATATCTCTCTTAAATTTCCCCTGCTGCAGATTAAAGTCGTTACTTCTTGTCCTGCCTTAAGTGGACACTGTTAACAGATCCCTCATTGCCGTCTTCTCTCAAACCTAAATATATTTAGTTTTTTAAAGTTTCCCCCATAGGTCAAGGATTTTAAACTGTTTTAAATTTTTGCTGCTCCCCTCTGGATCTCACCAATCTGTCCACATTTATCCTAAAATGTGATACCCAGAATTGGCATCTGAGGGTTCACCAGTGCCCAGGAGAGTGGGACATTTACCTCCCCGTGTTACATAAGACTCTCCAGTCAATACATTGCAGAATGATATTCATGATGAAGAGAGGAGGAATGTCCAGAATGGACAACACTTTGCTAATAAGGGTTCTGAGTAAGTCATGCCACCATGGAAACATAAAGCCCAGGGAGTGGCAGAGAAAGTTTGTCTCCTTGCATGGATTCATCAGCCCTCCAGTGTCCTCTTGAGGTGCAATAGATTTACTTGCAGACTTGATGAGGCTCATAGGGTTGGAGGTCCAAGTCCCCTGGGGTACGTCTACACTACCCCGCTAGTTCGAACTAGCGGGGTAATGTATGCATACCGCACTTGCTAATGAAGCCCGGGATTTGAATTTCCCGGGCTTCATTAGCATAAGCGGGGAGCCGCCATTTTTAAATCCCCGCTGCTTCGAACCCCGTGTAGCAAGGCTACACGGGGCTCGAACTAGGTAGTTCGGACTAGGGTCCTATTCCGAACTACCGTTACTCCTCGTGAAACCTCGTGGACTAACCAGCTACAAACTCTGGCCTCAGTTCAGCAAGCTGAGGTAATTGAACACACACCTAAACACACACCTAATTCTAAGCATATGAGCAGAGGTGGTGAAAACAGTGGGACAGCTCAGATGCTTTAAATTAGGCAAATGCCCTGAATTGTTGTCTCTGTGGAATTAAAAGGAATTATTCACTTTTTGTTTGTAATCTAGGTTATTTGCTTTTGTCAACAATAGCATTTCACATGCACAAAGGTAACAAACGGCTTTTGTGAGCCTGCTATAATATTTCCCAGGTAGTTGCAACATTATTTGCATTGCCAGATACAGTGGAAAGTAGGAATTATGCTCCAATGACAATAATTAAAAATACTTTTAATTTGCAGGATGCTGGCAAAGAGAAAGGTCACAATCCCAAAATCAAGTTATCAAGTGAAATTAGTATACTTAAGTTTCAGGTTTCTTTCTTCAGTGAGCTTCAAGCCAATGATTGTTTTGCTTTCATAAGAACTTAAAAATACTTATTTTTTCAAATAAATGCCTTCAATCAGCTCCTTCAGGAATTAAACTGGAGTCTTACATAAAACAAAGATCACAGAGAATTGGGAGCTGAGTCTCTGGGCTAGATTCTGATCTCATTTATACTGGAATAAATCTGGAATAACTCTACTGAATCCAATGGAGTTACACGGGATTTTACTCCTGTTTAAATTTGATCAGCTCCTACAACAAGTGCAGAATTTAAAACAAAAATAAAAGCCATCAGTGCCTGAATGAGTATTAAATGAAAACATGTGGACTAATTTTATCTGAAGTCCAAGAACAACACCAATAAGAGGGTACAATTTTATTTCATTGGGGGCATTTGATTGACATGGAAATAATTCAACAGGCAGATTGAAAAGAGAGAATAGATCTAGTTAGTAATTAAGTGAAATTTAACAGGGCATGAAACTTACACCAGAGCACAATCATAGCATACAGTGCAGAATACATTGTTATAATCATTTAGAATTGTATCTATTTTGGAAATATCTGACTTTATTTATTTTCATTGTACTGCAGGGGCTAACGTTAAATAAGTCAAGGTATTATTGTATTTTAGTGGTGCACTGACAGGAAGCAACACAATATTTTAGGACAAATCTGTTATTACAGGTATATTGCTCTTTTAATTGAGGACAGAGGGAGTATGTATCTTCATACAGGCATGGATTGGCTGAAAGAAAAGGAAGCACATAGTTAACAGGAGTTATTTTGCTATATGACCCATTTGTTGTGTTTCAGTCTCTAAGAACTCTCTTGCCTGCCAAGACAAACAACCAATCTGAGCAGGAGAGCTGCTGCATCGTGTTTTAGAGGAGACACAGCAGCACCCGTTCTAGGTCTCAGTTGGTTAAGCAATTGCTCAGGGCTCCAAGCTGTTCTAAGCCCTGCCCCCACCCAACTAGCTTTTTATTCTAAGAACTTGCCTGCTTTAGGAAGGGGGGAATATTCCTGCTTAGGGCCCCCAATGGCTAGCACTGGCTCTGAGGCACACACCTACAGTGCTCTCTATGGAGACTTTACTTTTGTTATTTTGTATTGTTTACAGTAATTTACCATGAAGGTCATTCGGGCTGCAATTTTTTATTTGCTCCTAACAGCACTGATATAGCCTCTTTCATCAGCAGAGCAATTCTAGCTTGCAATTTTTTCACCAATCATTTAGGTGAAATTTATACGTGTGTGCAAGACCTGAGGGCTACGTCTACACTGGCCCCTTTTCCGGAAGGGGCATGTTAATTTCACCTATCGTAGTAGGGAAATCCGTGGGGGATTTAAATATCCCCCGCGGCATTTAAATAAAAATGTCCGCCGCTTTTTTCCGGCTTTTAAAAAAGCCGGAAAAGAGCGTCTACACTGGCCCCGATCCTCCGGAAAAAGCACCCTTTTCCGGAGGCTCTTATTCCTACTTTTGGCTCTTATTCCAAACTTATTCTTTGAAGTAGGAATAAGAGCCTCCGGAAAAGGGTGCTTTTTCCGGAGGATCGGGGCCAGTGTAGACGCTCTTTTCCGGCTTTTTTAAAAGCCGGAAAAAAGCGGCGGACATTTTTATTTAAATGCCGCGGGGGATATTTAAATCCCCCGCGGATTTCCCTACTACGATAGGTGAAATTAACATGCCCCTTCCGGAAAAGGGGCCAGTGTAGACGAGCCCGTGGTGATTAACTGGAATTTGTGTTACACAAGCTTTTTGCAAAAGCAGCGAGGAGTCCTGTGGCACCTTATAGACTAATCGAAGTGTTGGAGCATAAGCTTTCGTGGGCAAAGACCCACTTCGTCAGATGCATGTAGTGGAAATTTCCAGAGGCAGGTATAAATATGCAGGCCAGAATCAGGCTAGAGATGACGAGGTGGATCCAATCAGGGAGCTAGACATTCACATTTGTAACTACAAAAGCAGCTTCTCCTCTCTTGGTATTCACACCTCCAGATCAGCTACCAGAAGTGGGCCTCATCTTCCTTGATTGGAGATTCAGACTGACACGGCTACCCCTCTGATACAAGCTTTTTGATGATACAGGGGTGAATTTTACCCTTATGAAGGGTAAGGTCCACAGTTCATGTCATCAGTATCCAGTGAACCTATCACACTGAGGAAATGGATGGGAGGGAGTTTAACTACATTCACATTATGCAGCGGCTGCTTTAGAGTGACAGCAAGAATACAGCAAAAATAACAATCCTGCAGGTGAAAGAGGAAGAGCCGTCTGCTAGATCTGGAACACTGGTTGTAATGCCCTGAACCAGAGAATGTGGAGTCTGTATCTCTCACTGCACATTGCAAACAGAAGAGGAGCAAAATCCCCATGCTCTACTTGAACTGGATTAGGAAATTCAGCATTTCATGAAACACACCACAAACATGTAGGGGATACAATAATATTTTAACTTACTGCACAGTCCGTTGTCACAAGCATCAGGACAGTCACTACATGGGTCTCCTATTTTGTAAGGTGTGTAAATCGCTCCTTTCATATTTCCCCTAAAATTTTAAAATAACATAAAATGTATAAATGTCTCAGAGAGGTAGCCGTCTTAGACTAACTTTAAAAAATCGAGTAGTCCTATAGCTCCTTAGTGACAATATAGCATCATGACCTTTCGTGGGCAAAACCAACTTCCTCAGATGAACAGAATGGAGAGAAAAGGGGGGGACCCTCACAATTTATAACAGAAAAAGAGGGGAAGGGGGGGGAAAGTACCTGTCAATTTTAGTGCTGGTGCTAATGAGGCTCATTGAGCAGGCTGGAAGTGTCCCATACCTAGCTTTTGATGTCAAATGGGTATTGAATGTAAGGAAAGCAAGTTTTATAATGGCCCCTCCTGTTCAGGTCTTTGTTCAAGCCATTAGAGATAATGTTAAATTTGCATATGAAGGTAATTTATATATATATATATACACATAGAGAGAGAGTTAGCTGGGTTAGTTGCTAGGTGCTTAGGTGCTACAGGACAACTCATTATTTTATAAAATGTATGACAAATCTTATTTTTCATTCATACTTTAAAGTTCAATCCAGAATACATAAAAAGGTGTTGATTCTGACACCATTATTCAAATTAGGTGAGTACAATTGTGCATGTTCATAAATTTATCACTTGCTGTATGCATGCATGTTTATGTAAGCATAACTCGTTAATGTTTTATGTGACCACACTGCATTTTCATTGAAATTTAAACACTGCATATCAAGTTTAACAATATTTTTAATGGAAAATCAATGAACTGGATCACTAAGATCAAAAGATTTTATTTTGATTTTATAATTTCAAATAAATGTAATCTATTCCATGAATTTCACTCTATGTCACTCTGAAAACTAAAACACCCCCACCTTCTGTTCTAATATCTGATTTGTCAGCACATCATTTGTTTACTTTCTTCATTATATTCCTTTATTATATAGAGTCATGCCAATTCACTTTCAGAATATGATCTGAAGAAGTGGGTCTGCCCCAAGAAAGCTCATTAGCTAATAAACTAGCTTGTTAGTCTTTAAAGTGCTACATATTTTTTCCTTTTGTTTTACCAAGATCAGACTAACACGGCTACCTCTCTATTACTCTGAAAACTAAAATGCCTGTTGAGTCAGTGAAAAGTGGTGGCAATAGATACAAACTCGATTAATGGCTCATTTGTTCACAGTATCAGGAGGCTGAGACATCACTGGATTTCACAGTCCGATAAATTCTCAGTCATTTTGCATTTACAAATTACACCCATGCAGTGTATAGCTACACTAAAGCATGTATCTATGTCATGCGAAGAATCCCAGACCATTGTGATATCAGACGCAACTCAACCAATCACCATTCTTTACTCCACAGAGAATTTGCATGTTGCCGGGCGCCGCCATTTTTAAATGTCCGCTAGCTCGGACTCCATGCCCCACGGCTACACGCGTCACGAACCAGGTAGTTCGGACTAGGTTTCCTAGTCCAAACTACCTGTACTCCTCTTTCCACTAGGTCCCAGACCATTGTGATATCAGACGCAACTCAACCAATCACCATTCTTTACTCCACAGAGAATTTGCATGTTGCCGGGCGCCGCCATTTTTAAATGTCCGCTAGCTCGGACTCCATGCCCCACGGCTACACGCGTCACGAACCAGGTAGTTCGGACTAGGTTTCCTAGTCCAAACTACCTGTACTCCTCTTTCCACTAGG